CATTTGTCGAAGTATTATTTTTCCTAACCTTTCTTTTGCCAAGAGTTTCTTTTTGCACAGCACCGCGGACACTGCTTTCTAAACCACGAGCTGACCACCAATTCTGTTCTTAATTAGCAAGTGGGACTGGGGGGAAAGTGTGACTCTACCAGAGCTCTGTTTGTGGAGAAGAATTTGACCTGCTCACACTTAAGAATGCATGATTGGCCTTTAAGTAAATAGATATTTCTTGATTCTGCTTGTGATGGTTTATTGAGATAAGCTGTTCCTTCCAGCATAAGGTAGTTTATTGTTGAGAGTGGAGTATGCCAGCAGAATGAGTGGCATGCTGCAGAACCAGCAGAATAACTCTTCTTACATTATCCCCTTACATTTTTGCTTCAGTGAACTAATATAACTATTATTTGGGTGATTAGTAAAGCCACAGTAACATGATCCCTTACCAGGAATTACCTATTTTTCTTCCCACCAAGCAAAACTTGTAGGAGCCTACAAGTTTGTGTCCTTACCCTTCTGCAGGATGTGAACGAATGTCAAACTGGCAAACTAAGATAAAAATTTATTTGAATGTTAGAGGAGTGTGCCTGTCTACCTGTTAGGATGCCCTTGTCTACATTTTCCTCTTGAAAGGAAATAAACTTTTTAAATGTTTATATTTTGCTATTTTTTTACTGAAATACTAAGTAGACTGGGCTTATATAATGATCATTATATATTATTTTCTATTTAAATTACAGGTTTTAGTTAAATTACTAAGTTTTAGTTTCTGAAGAAGTAGATCTTAAAGTATTATTTGTTGAGTGGCTTTTAAGTAAACACTCGAAGTACATAGTTGTTTCTATTTATAGGGCTGTAATTTTAATATGTCCCATATGCTGAAAGCCTTAGCTTTTTGTGCAGAGAACATGACATGTGCCTCACTAACACAGTGGTGGACATCTCTTCATGGCATCTGGGTTAGCAGCATCCCCTTCACCTAGACTGCCTGAGGTGACCTTCATGCTTCAGTTTCCAACTCAGGCTCTATCCTTAAAGCCCTCCACATACAGGCTTTACTTCTCTGGGCTGGATTAGTTGCTCCTTCCATGTTCCTATGGCACTTTTTAAATAACACTGAATCCCTTCCATTAATGATCACATTTGATTTAAGGAATTTATTTTATGCATTGTCAGTAATGGCTATTTTTCTTGTATTTTAATTGTTACTATTATTCCTAAGCCCATATCTGTATACTAAAATCAGCTGTGGGGACCCTCAATAAAACTAAAGTATGTTCAGTAAATTCAATAAAATCCGTTTCCTACGCTTTTTCATATTACGGGGTTACAGAAGTTGAGTATGTGGTTTTAAATAGTTTAAGTAAAAAAGTGAATACTTCTATTTCAAAAGTATGAAGATATAAAATAAAATTAAAATATCTTTAAGCATTACTAAAACACCATGGGTACTTCTCACTTGTATGTTATATAAGTAAATCCTTAAGAGAAATTTTATTGTTTTTAAATATGTTAGTAATCTTTTTAACTATTAATCATAATCATTTCTATTAAATTATTTAACATTTAAATGTCTCTCCTAAAAATAATCTTTCCAGTATAGAATTATAGTGAAGGCTAAGTAAATTTCTATTTTCACTATTGAATTAGATTTGATTTTTTCTTTAAAAACTGCTTCTACTTTTTAAAAGGCAGAAGAATTATATGTATATATTAATATATATGTAATAATAATGTAATATATGATCATAGCATGATGATTCTTTTGTTCAGTTTAAGAACAAAAATCATTTTGTGCACCAAAAAGTAGTTTTTGACCCAATTATAAACTGTAGTGACTGTTAACATTCTTACATAATGCAGATACATGTTCTTAATTGTCCAGTCATTTCTCTTACTCTCTACTTAAAAAAAAAAAAAGTTGCCATAAAAAGAAGACAAATAAGAGAAATACAATAGGGAAAATTGCCAAATTCTGTTATATCCATCCCACAAATTTCAACAGCTAAAATTAAGGGCGATAGAAATTGGTAATTTTTAGCCTAATGAATGACTTTATTATTACTTTTTAGAACAATGCTAATTTTATGTGTTCTCTGTCTTGGACAGCCTGTGGAGAGTAAATGGATATCTTCATCTTGTGAAATAATTGCCTTTCGTAAAGCGTTATTGAATCCAGTTACTGCCAAACAGTTTCAACATTTTGTGGCTCTAAAAGGAGATTTATTGGGAAATGGGGTACTTTTTTGGCAAGAAGTACAAAAATATAAGGTACTGTATTGGAAGCTGGAGAAAAGCACCTCTTCTTGAGAAGGAAATTCGTTAACACTATTAAGCCTTAACTATAAGTTTATGAACTTAGATATAAGAAATTCCAGTATTGCCATCTTCTTCATACCAATGTGTAAACATTGAAGTGATTATTGTGCAGTGCTTAGATACATTTAATATTATAGGGGAAGAGGACGAGAGATCCCTGAAATGATAGTATTAGGTTTTAAGGTAATAACATGTATTATGATCTACTGAGAACCCTCCTGAAGAGAGTTGTATTTCTTATGTATCTTACATGTATTATACACATGTTTTTCTGAAGATACTGATATTTGGTATATACAGAGAATCAAGATCTCTTTATAGGAATTTTCTTAACCATGTTTGTAGCAATAGTAATCAAAGCTACTAGATTATAGATAAATAAACCAGCAGATTGAGAAAGACGATTTTTCATTCTAAAGAATGGAAAAATTCTTTTAAAATGTATGTATTATGTGTTTTCATTTTATTTGAAAGGCAGAGTGACAAACAGAGACCTTCCATCTGTTGGTTCCCTCCCAAATTTGTACAACAGAGTGAGCTGAAGCAGGCTGAAGCCAGGAGCCCAGAACTCAACAATCCAGGTCTCCCGAAGGGATAATAGGGACCCAAGTGCTTGAGCCATCACTTGCTGCCTCCCAGGCTGCACATTTTGCAGAAAGCTGGAATTGGAAGCAGGGTTGGGACTCACACAGTCATTTCTTGGTTTTACGATTGTTTTTCCTTCAAAGCTGCACTTGAGCTCCATTTTAAAATCTTTTCCAGAGTATTGCAGGAAGGACTTAAAATACTAGGTAGCTGTATTTTTTTAGATTTATTTTTATTTATTTGGAAGTCAGAGTTACAGAGAGAGGTAGAGCCAGAGAGAGAGAGAGAGAGAGAGAGAGAGAGAGAGAGAGAGAGAGAGAGAAAGGTCTTCCATCCACTGGTTTACTCCCCAAATGACTGCAATGGCAAGAGCTGAACTGATCCAAAGCCAGGAGCCTGGAACTTCTCCCGGGTCTCCCATGTGGGTGCAGGGGCCCAAGGACTTGGGCCATCTTCTACTGCCTTCCCAGGCCATAGAGAGCTGGATCAGAAGTGGAGAAGCTGGGACTCGAACCGGCGCCCATATAGGATGCCTGCACTGCAGGCCGCAGCTTTAACCCACTGCGCCACAGCGCCGGTCCCAGGTAGCTGTATTTTCAAAATATGCTGCACAACTAAAGATTGTGCTATAGGAGTACATTTGCTCAATAAGCATTTATTAAGTAACACATGTTCCAGGCATTATGCTGGATTGTAGGAATAAAAATGTGAATACAACATGTTGCCCTCCTCCAGGGAGGGAGGGAGCTAGCAGAAGAATATTATGCAATACATTCATTCTGATTCGTGTGCTGACTAGGTGTAGTTTTTGCACAGAGTTGGAGAATCACGGAGGTGGGGTAAACAGAAGGCCAGGGAAGCTTCAGCACAAGCGGTGATGTTTGTTTGCATCAGGTCTTGGGAGTTTGCCAGATGCAGGGCATTCCACCCGGCAAAGTCTTAATGAGTCTTCTGTGCCTTCCTCTCTTTAAGGTCTTACCTTCTACGCAATACTGTCCTAATGCTTTTCTTTATTATTATTTTAAGATTTATTTATTTATTTATTTGGAAGAGTTACAGAGAGACAAGGAGAGACAGAGAGACAGTTCTTCCATCCACTTACTCACTCCCCAGATGGCCTCAATGGCAAGGGTTGGGGCAGGCTGAAGCGAGGAGCCTGGATAATCTTCTAGGTCTCCCACATGGGTGCAGGGGACCAAGGACTTGGGCCATCTTCTGTTGCTTTTCTCAGGCACATTAGCAGGGAGCTGGATAGGAAGTGGAGCAGCCGGTGCCCATATATTATGCCAGCACTGCAGACGGCCACTTAACGTGCTACACCACTGCACCAGCCCCTGTCCCAGTGCTTTTCATCCACGAGTATTTGTTGAGCATCTCACAAGGACAAGGCTAACTCCTGGGGACATGACTGTGATCAAGGCAGTGCCATGGGAGGAACAATGAGCAATAGACAAGGACGTCACAAGGATATGGTTAGTGCAAAGGCGGAGGGAGCACAACTAGCAGGGGCATCTCTTGAGGCTTGAGGAAATCACAGGAAGCTTATTAGTGCCAAGTGTGCTGAAGCAGAGACCTTACTACTAAGAAAGAATTGGCCGGCGCTGCGGCTCAATAGGCTAATCCTCCACCTTGCGGCGCCGGTACACCGGGTTCTAGTCCCGGTCGGGGCACCAGATTCTGTCCCAGTTGCCCCTCTTCCAGGCCAGCTCTCTGCTGTGGCCAGGGAGTGCAGTGGAGGATGGCCCAAATGCTTGGGCCCTGCACCCCATGGGAGACCAGGAGAAGCACCTGACTCCTGCCATGGGATCAGCGCGGTGTGCTGGCCGCAGCGCGCCGGCCACGGCAGCCATTGGAGGGTGAACCAACGGCAAAAAGGAAGACCTTTCTCTCTGTCTCTCTCTCTCTCACTATCCACTCTGCCTGTCAAAAAAAAAAAAAAAAAAAAAAAAAAGAATTAGCTAGGCTAATGGTACATTAGGGCAGAAGAATTTTTTTTAAAATTAATTAGGATTATATCCCTTCACTCAAAATTAAAGCTGCATCAGTTTATAATTTTTTTTTAATTTCACAGCTTATGTTCCTAATTATAGAACAGACTCATACTTACCTGGCAGGGGAGACACCATGATCACAAAGGTGGTTTTCCCACAGCGAGGCTCATCTGTGCACTCCGGATGTGCTGACCCTTGCGATTTCCCCACGTGGGGGAAACTCGACTGCATAATTTGTGGCAGTGGGTGACTACATTTGCACTCTCCCCTAATTAAAAAAAAAACAGGCTCACCAATAATTATATAAGATAATCTCACTAACAATGGCAAAGATGCACATTTAGTAACACATGGAACACAGGTGGTATAAAGGCTTTTTCTGAAGTGATGCTAAATTGAATAAGAAGTGCTACCTGTTGCATAGTGTAAGATTTATCTTAAGCTTTCTTCACATAGAACTATACCAAACAATACATAAAGTTTTACATGGCAGGAATGATAATTTTTCTTTCTTTAACAGTATTCTTAAGACAGCTAATACAATACCCAGCATGCACTGGGTATTTAATAGATATTTAGTCATTTCTGGCCTAGAGTTAGAGGTTTCCAAATTTGTTTGCTTTCTAGTTATTTAGGAAACAACATCTTTAGTAGAGAGATGCCATAATTCAACCTAAGTTACCTCCTTATTTACTAAAATAAAGAAAATAGTAACTGTACATTTGTGACTTTAAAACTGGATCATTTTAATATTTAGTAATTATTTTTATCCAAAAAGTTATTTTTGTTATTAAACCTTGTAGTACAAACCTAAAAAACAAGCAGAAAACTGGCAGTAAACCACAGGAAGTCTCTGCTCCCCAGGGAGGATGCAGAACAACACTAATAAATTAAATCCAACCTGAACGCCATAGGTAGAAATCCGTCAAGAAGGGGAAAGGTACACAGCAAGGACATAAACTCTGGACAGCCACACTGGCTAGCACTTGACTGTTTATGTCTTTATTAACTATTCCAAGACAATTCAGTCTTCCCCAACAACAACCAACAAAGTGGATCAGAGGGTCTCACAGGCATGGAAAGCCATGACACGGTGGCAAAAAACAATCTAAATGAAAGATCCTGGTGAACAAGACCCCAGCAGAAGGATCAGGCCACCCAGGAGAGAGGCACCTTTCTCTAAAGGGAGGAAGGAACCTCCACTGTGATACAGCCTTGACAACAAATTCAGAGTTGGTGAACTCAAGGGGCTTCCATAGCCTAGACAGCTCATAGCAAGAGTCTTGGGTGATTGCTGACATCATAAATAAGAGTGCCAATTGTTAAATCAACAACGGGAGTCACTGGGTTCATGCTTCCCACGTAGGATCTCTGTCCTTAATTGGTTTTACTATGAATCTCAAAAACAGCACTACTAGTCGAACAATACCCTATACGTGGTTCAGTTGTGTGAGTGCAGCCTGTTGAAATCCCTGCTTAGTATATACTAAGTTGATCTTCAGTATATGAAGGTAATTGAAAATGAAACATGATGAAGGGCGGGATGGGAGAGGGAGTGGGAGAGGGGAGGGCCGCGGGAGGGAGGGAGGTTGTGGGGGGGGAGCCACAACAATACAAAAGTTGCATTTTATATTCTACTTAAAACTATTGGTTGAACTCTGTAATTAATACACAATTACTCTTAGGTGTTTAATTAATGCTATAACTAGTACTCAAATAGTATTTTATACTTTGTGTTTCTGTGTGGGAGCAAAATGTGGAAATCTTTACTTAATATACGCTAAATTGATCTTCTGTATATAAAGATAATTGAAAATTAATCTTGATGTGAAGGGAAGGGGAGAGGGAGTGGGAGAGGGGAGCGTTGTGGGTGGGAGGGAAGTTACGCAGGGGAGGAAGCTATTGTAATCCATAAGCTGTACTTTGGAAATTCATGCTCATTAAATTAAAAAAAAAAAAAAAGTGGATCAGAGGACGCCCCTGGCAGTCACCACTGTGTACTCATATTTAAGTTCTTCATAAAGAGGAGTATGTCTTGGGGTAATTGGAACAATATAGAGATTAAAAGATGTATAATGACACACCTTTTCACCAGCATGCCTGCTTGTGTTGCTCAGCTTTTTGAGCCTAAATCAACTTGCTGTTGAATTTAACATCTGGACAAGAAACCCTCTGCATCCACCCATAGTTTGAGCTAGGTGTCTGTTCTGGTGTTCTTCTAGGAACCTGCCCTTGGCATACCTCTGTCATAACATTTATTAACTCTCCAGAATTTGGAGTAACGTGTTTTCACTTGTCTCCTCCAATAGAGACTGAATCCTTAAGGGCAGGGACTGTTTCTTTTCTTTTTTTCCTTTTTTTTTTTTTTTTTTTTTTGACAGGGAGAGTGGACAGTGAGAGAGAGAGACAGAGAGAAAGGTCTTCCTTTGCCGTTGGTTCACCCTCCAATGGCCGCTGCGGCTGGCGCGCTGCGGCCGGCGCACCGCGCTGATCCAAAGGCAGGAGCCAGGTACTTTTCCTGGTCTCCCATGGGGTGCAGGGCCCAAGCACTTGGGCCATCCTCCACTGCACTCCCAGGCCACAGCAGAGAGCTGGCCTGGAAGAGGGGCAACCGGGACAGAATCCAGCGCCCCGACCGGGACTGGAACCCCGTGTGCCGGCGCCGCAAGGCGGAGGATTAGCCTACTGAGCCGCGGCGCCGGCCCAGGGACTGTTTCTTAAAGGCTCTGCTTGGTGTCTGGCAGATAGCAGGCACTCAGTGTGCAGTTGTTAAATGAATCAAAGAAGATGCTAAAGCTATTCCTTTGCATAGGGCAACCAGTGGTCAGGAGTAAATGACATCTGGTTACATAAGATTCATATGTCAAAGTTTTAGACTTCTCAAATCCAAGAGAAAGAAAATCTCTGATTTTTAAGGATAGCCTTGACATGTCCTAGTCAGAGCCCTCTTGACCTGCAGTTAAAATGTGTGTATCAATTGAAATACATATTAACACTACTCCACAAACTGTTCTCGTAATATGTAGATCATGTATTATTCTGTCGTTCCTCCTCCTTCTTCAGGACTTGTGCCATTCTCACTGTGATGAGTCCATGATCCAGGAGAAGATCACAACTATAATCAACTGCTTTATTAACTCCAGTATTCCTCCAGCTTTACAAATTGACATTCCAGTAGAGCAAGCCCAGAAGATTATTGAACATAGGAAGGAGTTGGGACTATATGTATTTAGAGAGGCACAGGTAAGAGATCATGGCATATGGCTTGGCATATTTTAAAATAGATTCACAATCTAGATATTCTTTCAAAGCTTTTGCATTATTCATATTTGGCAAGGTTCCAATAGTCCCAATACTGAAATTTATTTAATGTAAACAATCTTTGCATATGCCACCAAAATGTAAGAAACTAGTAACCCGTGTGCTATTTTGTTTATGACAATGTGCAGCAAATAAATTCTACACTTCGACTTTCCATGGTTACCATTTTTTGTTTCTAACCTATAAAACTCCAACTAATTCCTCCTTCCTTTCCCACCATTCATTTTTCTATTTTAAAATCTGCTACCACAAAAATGTATAAAATATGTGGGTTCTAAGATTTGTATATTTTCAAAGATTGGATATTCACATAGCTCATAAAATAAGTGAGAGGAGATTTAAGTACCCAACCAACATAAAGTACACAAACTCATGAAAGGAAAATCATGCCTGTTAACCTGCTCAAGTTACTTCTTTCTAAGATAAATAATAGAAAACATTGACTTGGTGAACATAATTTATTTGCATTTTGAAAAGCCTTTTAGTGATGTTGTTCCTAAAAAATGATTAAGAAAAATAAATTATAATAGGGGTAATAAGGAAGGCCTTGTCATGAATTAAGTGACATGAAACAGAGATTTAGGGTATGATTGCCCTTAGGCATGGAAAAAGACCATTATTCCTTAACATTCATTCGTGAGCCAACTGTGTTCTAAGTCCTCTGTGGAAATGAAAGTAGACTCTCAATCCAAATTATGCATTAAAAAGGCAAAAATATGGAGGAGTGATTGAGGATGTGCTGGAGAAAGAGAATATGGTGCCAACATTGTAGCATCTGTTAATGAAAAGATCTCAGAGACCACTTAGCTTAGCCTCGGTCTGCTGATTAAATGAGACCAGAGCTTGCCCATTTATATCAAAGACGTTGAGCCTTATAGTGAATGTCAAGAGCTGCTGATACTGGTTGGTTCCTGCACATTTGCAGGGATTAGAGCCAATGATTTTTATTGGAGTTCTCTAGTCGAAAATTTCTACCTGATTTCCTAAAACCAAGACCCAGATAAATCATCTAGATGGACCTTGGAGTATCTAAAATTGAGAATTTAAATTTGGGGCCTCATTCCCTGAGTCTGTTACTCCTCCAGTTTGCTAAGGAAGCTCAGGGAATGGTGTCCTCTCCTATCCAGGTATGCAAGCAAAAGATCTGAGTGCCATGCTCAAGTTTCTGTCTTTACCCCATATCTAACCAGTCCCCAAAACTTGCCCATCTGCCTCCTTGTTGCCTGTCATTCTACTCACTTGTCCCCCACTCCACACCCTGACCTTACTTCAGATCTACAGTATGTCTCACATTCGTTACCAGAACTCCTTGTCTGTGGGCTCTCTCCAAACCATCCAGCTGATGGCAGGCAGAACAATCTTTTTCAGATTGTATGTCAATTATGTCAATGTTCTGCCTAAAATGTTTCCTTTAAAAAAAAAAAAAAAGATTTATTTTATTTATTTGAAAGACAGGGCCGGCACCGTGGCTCACTTGACTAATCATCCGCCTATGGCGCCGGCATCCCATATGGGCACCGGGTTCTAGTCGCAGCTGCTCCTCTTCCAGTCCAGCTCTCTGCTGTGGCCCGGGAAGGCAGTGGAGGATGGCCCAAGTCCTTAGGCGCCTGCACCCGTGTGGGAGACCAGGAAGAAGCACCTGGCTCCTGGCTTTGGATCAGTGCAACGCGCCGGCTGTAGCGGCCATTTGGGGAGTGAACCAACGAAAGGAAGACCTTTCTCTCTCTCTCTCTCTCTCTCTCTCTCTCTCTCTCTCTCTCTAACTCTGTCAAATAACTCTGTCAAATAAATAAATAAGAGTTACAGTGAGAGAGAGAGAGAGAATTGAGAGAAAGGGTCTCCTATCCACTGGTTCACTCCCCAAATGGCTGCAATGGCCAGAGCTGAGCCAATTCAAAGCCAGGAGCCAGGAGCTTTTTCTGGGTCTCCCACGTGGGTGCAGGGGCAC